GAGAGAACCTCTACAAGTAGTCCTTCGTCATGATTGTTGTCTTCCTTCATTGGAAGTCCTCCAAGGAAAAGCACTCATACTCTCAAGTATTATTCACTAGATGATACAGAGAATTTTAGCACTTAACCAAACTTTTATTCATTCAACCACCACTATGTAAATCAATAAATGGGTATAATCAAAAGAGGAAGGACCAAGGGGCGTGGTAGACCATTCAAGGGTTTTTAGAGTGAAATAGAGTATTTATAGTGGGGATTCAAAGGATTGATTGTAGACTCTAAGAATAATTTAATGCACTCTTAATTTCTTTATGTTTTCCAAGGGGAAGAGAGAATTAGCATCTTTTATGAGGAAAGGAATGAGGGCTGGCAATTGGATTATGGGGGTGATTTAGATTTGAACAATTTTTATTATCAATGCTTTGAATTTGATGATGCTTTAAAAGAAAATGATTTAAATCCCTCGAGTAAAGGATGGTTGGATGCCCTTCCATGTAGAAGAAGATTGCAATCACGGACATTCACAATTGATTTGTGAAATTTAGACGGATTTTCTACTATTTATTTTCCTTATTTTCCAAATTTTTCTTCTTTTCCTTTATTTAAAATTAACTTCTTTTCTTTCCTTCTCTTTTCTATTCTTTTTTTCTTTTTTTTTCTTTCTTCAATTTACTGTTCACAAGTGATAATTACTTTGTTAATTCACATTAATACTTGGGCATGCATGCATATGAGACAGAAGTAGTCAAATAAAGGAGAAAATGATCTATGGGTTTACCATTCATGGTGAAAAGTGAGAGCATTGTTCATGGTAAACAACAATTTACAAGGCAATGAGCAGCAATTTTATTATTTTTGAAGAGCATTTTGTTGTTCCATGTGCACAAGTATGGAAGGGAAGAATCAATGAAGAGGGGGGAGGAAGTGTTGTAGTTTTCGGAAAGTAAAGAAAATTTTTATTGAACTTGATTTCAAAGCTATAACATAAAATGATGTAAACCATAACTTCGATACCAACCTTAAAAATAAACTAGAAATCACAATAGAGAAAATAAAAAAGAATAAAAGATTACAAAAATTAACAAAAAAAAAATTATCATGCACATACGAGAAAATAATATTCCGAATTTTTAAGGTCTCATGCTTAACTATCAAAATTTCAAAATAGATCAACAACAACAACAACATCAAGCCTTTGTCCCACTATGTGGGGTCGGCTACATGAATCCTTTTTCGCCATTGTGTCCGGTTAAAAGTCAAATTCTCATTTAAATCTAACAAAGAAAGATCATTTCTAATATTTTCTAACCAAGTCTTTTTAGGTCTATCTCTACCTTTCTTAACATAAGTCGAATCTAATACCTAAACTTTCCTAACTGGGTCATCGGAAGGCCTCCGTTTAATGTGACCAAACCATCTAAGGCAACTCTCTCTAATTATCTTCCACTGGAGCTACTCCAGCCTTTTTCACGTATATGCTCATTTCATATCCTATCTTTAAGGATCAAGCCACTCATCCACCTAAGCATACTCATTCCTGCAACACTTAACTTAGTATTATGCTTCTCTTTTAATGGCCAACATTCGGCACCATAAAGCATTGAAGGTCTCACCACCATCTTATAGAATTTTCCGTTAAGTTTGAGGGGGACTTTTCTATCACACAATAAGCCTGATGTCTTCCTCTACTTCAACCATCCAACTTGAATTCTGCTGATAATATCCCCATCGATTTCACCATCACTCTTAACAATAGATCCAATATATCTAAAACGTGTACTCTTATTAATGACTTGATAGTCCAAAGTCACAATCCCCTCACTAAGTCTATTGCTACTAAAATTACACTCCATATATTCAGTTTTAGATCAACTCAAGTGAAAACCTTTAGACTCTAAAGTTGACCTTCATAATTCAAGTTTACCTTCAACTCCCTCTCAAGTCTTATCAACAAGAAGAATATCATCAGCAAAAAGCATACACCAAGGTACATCCTCTTGGAAATTTCAAGTGAGAACATCCATGACTAAAGCAAAAAGATATGGACTTAAGGTTGATCCTTAATGTAATCCAACCGAATTAGGAAAATACTTGGTCAAACCACCTTGTGTTTGAACACAAGTAATAGCTCATGCATACATATCTTTAATGATTTGAATATAAGCATTATTAACTCCTTTCTTTTCAAGAACTCTCCATAGCACTTCTCTTGGAACTTTATCATATGCTTTCTATAAATCAATAAATATCATATGTAGATCCTTCTTATTTTCTCTATATTTCTCCATCAAACCTCTCAATAAATGTATGGCTTCCATAGTAGACCTACCCAGCATGAATCCAAATTGATTTTGGTAAACATTTGTATCACGCCGCAACCTGCGCTCCATAAATCGCTCCCATATTTTTAAAGTATGACACATTAACTTAATTCCTCTATAATTCACGAACTCCTGTGCATCACCTTTATTTTTAAAAATATGAATTAACACACTCATTCTCCACTGAATTAACACACTCATTCTCCACTGACATTCAAAATTGTAAGAAATTCCTTCATCTCCTAAGCATTTCCACATCTCTATCGGAATATCATCAGGTCAAAAAGCTTTTCCACACTTCATTTTCTTTAAAGCCTCTTTAACTTCGATTTTACTTATACGCCGATAAAAACAAAAATCTTAATTTTCATTTAGGGTGATAAAGTCACAAAGTCAATCGTATTTTCACATTCTTCATTAAAAAGTTTAGCAAAATACCTCATCCACCTTTGTTGAATGTCATCTTCCAAGAAAAGTTCGTTTTTGATCTTCATCATTAATACTCTTCACTTAAACTAAATCCTTACTACTCATATCTCTTTATTTGGCTAACTTACACATATATCTTTCTCCCTCATTAGTATCTAATCTGTTATATAAATCATTAAAAGCTAAGCTCTTTGCATCGCAAATAACTTTCTTAGATTCCTTACAAGCCTCTTTATAGCTTTCCCAATTATCAGAATTTTTACATCTAAACCAATTTTTATAACAAATCTTCTTATTTTTTATTGCACATTTGGATTCCAACACTAACTATTTTTACTATTATGAGCTTTTCCCTTCAAAAATCCAAACACATCTTTTGAAATATTCTTAATATCACAAACCACTTTTTCCCATATAATATTGGCATCCTCATACACAGACAGAATCTTAAGATCTAAAATCTTACTCTCAAAAATATTTTTTTAATATTCTTTAAATGTACCAATCTAATCCTAAAAAATCATTTTACTTTATTTTTTTATTTTTTGCCCTTTTATCTTAAAGTCCAAAACTAATAATCGATGTTGAGTATATAAATTTTCACTCGGAATAACTTTACAATCTTTGCAATCTAAACGATCTAATTTTCTTATACGAAAATAATCAATCTGCGTTTTACTATATCCATTTTTATAAGTTATAAGATACTCATCTATTTTCTTAAAAAAAGTATTAGCTATTAAGAAATCATAAGCTAAAAAAAAATCTAATATAGTCTTACCACCTTCATTTGTTGTTCCAAACTCATGGTCACCATGGATGCTCTTAAAAATTAAAATCATCTACCTATCTACCAACATGTCCATTTAAATCTCCGCCAATAAAAACTCTTTCTTCAAGAGGTATATTTTGTATTAATTCTTCTAAGTCATTCCAAAATTTTAATTTTGAACTCATATTCAAACCTAATTGAGGAGCATAAGCACTTATAATATTAACAATCTTAGCAACAACAACAATCTTTAAAACTATAATTATATCACCAATTCTGTTAATTTTTATAATATTATCCTTCAAACTCTTATCTATAATCACACCTACATCATTTCTAGTATGACTCCTACCTGAATACCATAGTTTATATCCTAAACTATTAATCTCTTTAGCTTTCTCTACAACTCATTCAGTTTCCTGAATGCACAGAATATTTATCTTCCTGTGAATCATACTATATATTAATTCTATTAATTTTTCAGTAAGGGAGCCTATATTCTAAGTTCCTATTCTAATTTTAGTTTCATGAACTAGCTTCTTTGTCCACATCCGTCCTTGATGTAGGAACCCTTGCCTATTTATCACTGCACCATTTCCGGTGCAGCGGCCCTTGCACACTTGTCACTATATTCAGGCCATACAACGCATCTCTTTCAGGGGACGCCCTAGCATTAACACAATTTTTTAAAGGATTCATGTCATGATATTCGACAAGTTTTACGCTGGCTGTCGACTACCTAACGCAACCCTCCACTTTTCTCATCTAGGACTTGGGACCTAGCAACGACAGTGTTAAAATTTCAAAATTAGATCAAGCAGAAAAAATCTCATGCCAAAAAACATCATACATGAATTAGAATTCCCACATTTATAGATGGAAGAGATGATAAAATACTAACAAACTATTAACAAATAGTTAGCAAAATGCTAACAAATAAATAAAATACCACCAAACAAACAAGCTAGTAATAAATTAACAAAATGCTAACAAACTACTAATAACTTGCAAACAACATATTAACAAACTGCTAATAAATTGCTAATAAGTTAAATGATAATGATTAGAATAATTATAATAAAATAATAAAATAGGTACAAAAATTACTCAAATATCTAAAACAAAATAAAAAAAATCAGAATTTACATCCACACCACAATGTATATGTTGGCTTTGAATTGATTTTTTTTTTCTAGGTCACAATAGCTATATTCACCACAAGTCTAAATCCAGTTCTCACTCACAATAAACTCCTACATTATACGAAGCAAAAAAGGAAACGAAATTCCCTTTATGTAAGCAATTCCCATGGGATACAACATCTTTGCGCAAAGAACTATTATATACAGCAGATGGTAAGTTTATCACCAATATTATCAATAGGAAAATCAAAGATGCACTAGGTGATACAGGAGAAATCTGCTATGACTCGTAAACAAAAAAAGTTCAAAGGCTATGAGAAAGAAATAGATATTACACTGGCTGAGATGCAGCTAATGAGACTTCGCCATGAGAGTAAAGATACAAATAAGCTGTCATACTTGTTGGAACCACTATGGCCATCCATGTTGCACACTGCACAAGCAAATCAGGCAACATTGTACCTTATTAACATTTATATTTTCTGTCCAGAAAATAGAGCAGGTCATTACCTTGATCTGATGCTATCATTAATGTATTTAAAATTGGGTCAAAGCCAATAATATGAAGCAGGAACTAAGAGATAAAGGTAAGAGTGAGCATGAATGCAAAATAACAAATTTAAAAAAAGATTTTGTAAATTTGTGGATCATTACAGAAATAGCCATTAAAGTTTAACGGGAGGATCTGAGACAAAAGCTTCTCATCAATGATGGCAACATGTTAGCACAACTATTTAAATATCACAAATTTAAAAGGAAATACATCCATCTAGATGGCACAAAATTGCCAGCAAGACCATATTTTTCAATTTGGATAAAGAGCACGAAATAGAAAATAAGCAGTATGTTTATATTACTGTCACATGTAAGTTTCAAATCAGAAAGGTTGGAAGAGAAAAACAGAAGTGAGCCAACCTAATTCAGATCGGAATATGATGCATATAGAAAAAAACAAAACACATACCAAAGATAGAAAGATACGAATGCTGATAAATTAAACCGTCATGGTTGATAATATCAAACTCTGGAGCTTTTCATGCAAACTTTCCATTGATTTTGAAATAAACATTACATGCCTTACGGGGTTTCCATGATAGTAGCAAATCAAATTACTTAGTCAGTGTGGAGTATCAAAAACCAATGCAGCATGCTTCATGCATAACTAAATTTGAAGTTGCATCCCACCCTAATGTGCATGAAGCACTTTGTGCATTAGTAACACTCCCAGAGTTAATTTTCCACAACTAAGTTAGAAGAAACTCATGAGTATCATTAAATGCCAAGAGATACAAATAGAATTGCAGGCCTTTAATGAGATACAATACAAAGAAGTGGATTAGATAATCACACTGTAGAAAATTGCTGTCCGCATTAAAGCCCCATGCCAAGTGCAAAAAGCAGTAAGCGCTACAGTTAGGGTGCGTTTGGGACGGCGGTACTGCTGCTTTACTTTATAAAAAGTCATTAAATCATTGTTTGGGACATTGCGGCAGAACCACGGCAGAAAAAATTCTGCGGTCCGCTGTTGCTTCCCGCGACCATTCCCTGTATCCCGCGGTCGGCTGCTTTCGGCAGAAAAATGACGAAAATCCCGCGGCAAATATTCGCTACCGTCGTTGCCACGCTGCTCTCTGCTTTTCCACTATCCATCAAACAAATGCACCGCACGCCGATCATTCCACGTCGGCGAACCTTTCTGCTTCTTGCTGAAGATTTGATTAACACCAGCTTCTGAACCGCCGATTGCCGACGGGATCTAAACCCGCAATCTCGGATGGCACGGGACCGGAGAAATCATTGTTGGAAAGGTCAAGCGATACCAAGCTTCTAATCTCGCCGATTGCCGACGGGATCTGGCCAAAGAAGCGGTTATGCGGTAGCGAGAGGATTTCGAGTGATTTCGGATGGCACGGGACCTGAGAGGTGACAGAGAAAAGAAGTAGCGCCCAAGCAACCTTGACCATTGTTCTCCCTTATTCTTTTCCTCTCTCTCTCTCTCTCTCTCTCTCTCTCTCTCTCTCTCTCTACAATACCACCATTGCAGCTACAAGGAGTGGAGGATTGAAGAGGCTGAGGAAGTAGACAAGAAGAGTATAACTAAGCTTGGCGGAGGCGGTCGACGGTGTCAAGCAGGTGGTGGATTTGGTCGTTGTAGGAGGACATAAGGGCATTCATCATTTGTTTGCTGCTCTCTTTGGGAGAAATGGGCGCCATTGGCGTACTGTTTAATTTGTCTCAACGCGACAGCAATCAATGAGTAGGAAAGATGAAGCAAATGCTTCGGTAAGACCAAGGAAGATTGCTTCTTCTATCATAGATCAGAAAAAGTTTCGAAGGAGAAACTTGCAGGAAGAGAAAATGATGACTGCGGAGAAGAAATGGGTTTAGATATGCGGAGTCCTTCTAGTGAGCTTGTATTGTTTCAGATCTTAGCATAGGCAGAGAACTTGCTAATTAACGGTACGCCTGTAAACCTTCAAGACAGATTTTATTTTATTTTGGTACAAATTAAAATATCCTAATAATAAGACAACATGAAACATACCAATGAATTTTTTTTATTTAGAATTGTTAGTTGATTATCATATACATTTAAAAAAAATTAAAATTTGAAAAAATTATATATTTCATCTAAATATATATAAGGGTACGAAGGTAATTAGTTCTCATACAGCTGCAGCACAGCAGCTCTACAGTTATACTATCCAAATAAAATATAATGATTTCTATAAAGCAACTTTAAGAAGCAACTTTATGTACAACAATTTTACAACCTACTTTACCAACAGCTGCAGCCGTCCCAAATGCACCCTTAAGCTGTAGTAATTTTGTGTCTGAGAATTGGATAATTTTCTGGAGAAAATATTCCCGTCTTTTTTGCATATTGACCTGAATGTTAATTTTATCGTCAGTTGGTATCAGGCTATCAGCATAAGAGGGATTTTTGATGTGCAAGCAGCTGTAAAATATGCTATATATGTCATTGTCATGATCGACCTTATTCCAATTATTTGGACTCGGCTTTTTGATTCGTCATTCTCCATCAATTATTGTTTTGTGTTCTTTGTGATGTTAAAATCTATTTTGTTCAAGTTTTATACATGTTACTTTTGTTCTAGCATTTTTTTCTTCTTATTACAATTTACCTTACTAATGCAATTTTTTTTTTCATTCAATGTAGTTACTCAAATCACCTAAGTTTATTTTTTCTCTTATTTATTTTCTACCAGTGTTTACTTTGATAGCTTCCCCTCTTATAATTATATTTCAATCTATCCTCACTACTTTTATGATGCATGCAAACCGGCCCATCTTCTTCTTCGATCCGCCTGCTTTTCAAAATCTTACCTTTTCTTTCTGATCTTTTTGGTCTCGATTGAGATGACGAGTCAGTTGTTTCATCTTTTTCTTCTTCTTCTTGTTCTCGGATTTCTTGTTGGAGGCCTCGACGCCAGCGCCGGCGATGCCGATCCAATCTATAGGTAGTTTCTCTCTCCCACTGTGCGTCCGTCTACTGTTAGATTCTTTTTTGGTCTATGTTAATCGATCTGGAAAATGTTCTATGATTCCTCTCTCGCGTTGGGCTGTTATTGCTGCATAAATTATGGTCATCGAGTGATTTCTTCCTGTTTATGTATGAGAAAATTAGTTCTTTAGGATTATCAGATCCATCTCCCCGTGAATCACGAACGGACGCGGAAGGGAGTGAAAATTTCTTTTAATGTGGAGGATTTTTCTTCTCTGGGCAAGAGAAGATATAAATGGATATCTTTCTATCAACTTCTGAGTATATTAGTCCATTACTGATTGATTCATATGAAAGCTTTGTGCTTGTGCTAGTCAAGAGGCAGGTTTTAAAAAAAAAAAATTGAAAAAATTATATTTTCATCTAAATATATATAAGGGTACGAAGGTAATTAGTTCTCATACAGCTGCAGCACAGCAGCTCTACAGTTATACTATCCAAATAAAATATAATGATTTCTATAAAGCAACTTTAAGAAGCAACTTTATGTACAACAATTTTACAACCTACTTTACCAACAGCTGCAGCCGTCCCAAACGCACCCTTAATCCACGTCAGTTAAACTCTAGTCTGTCACAGACTTGGTCAGAAAAAAAAAAAAGGTTTCACGCATATTGGTTAACTAAATTATAACTATGCAACTCTCGCAGATGATATCTCCTCTCACGTGTTATTTAACCTAGTATCTTCAGCTACTTTGATCTTTGCTATCTCTGTTTACAACCCCGTCTCACAATTTTCTGTTGCTCTTCCAAACATCGCACAGATAGCCTACTATCTCTTGAACATGCTCTTTGTAGGTATTGCCCCTTGAGAAAATATGGGAATCCATGTTGCCCTCAATGATGTTTAAGACTATGCAGAATGTTGGCCTGCTAGAGTTGGGAAGAGATGAAAGGCTTTCCAGTTTGCCTGGCATCTCTCTCCCAGTCAGCTATTCTCACACATGTAATCTATGACGTGCAAGCACGTTCTCAATAACACGGCATAAGATTAAAAAATAGAATGTAAAAGTTATAGACATAATGTTGAATTTTATAAATTATGAATATAGAGTTACGTAATTTACAGTATTTCTGTTAAACCGGTTCAATGAACCAGTCCAGCCGGTCCACGCGGGACCGACCCAAATGCAAACGGGGCAGAATGTCTCCGCCTCCTGCTGTTGTCGCACGCGCCGCAGGAGCTGACGGAGCTTTTTAGGAAGGATTTTTGAGGGATTTGGGAGGGGAATTTGAATGCAGGGACTGTTAAGGGATTTCCTTTTGTATGCATTAAAAACTTTGTTTTCCTAGGGTTAGGGCATCTTGAATTTGGCGATCTCTTAGATTTAGGTTTCCTTTGGGCTCTAGCGGCGTCTAGAGATTTGGGAGAGATCGATCCTCCTCTCGAATTGAAAATCAATTGTATCTTGTTTGTTTTTCTTCTGTTAGTTAATTTCTTGCAATAAAATCTACCGTTTTTCCTTATTTTCATTGGATTTTAGAAGAGTTTCTCGCTGTTTCTACGAAGATGGATAGGAAATAGTTGAGATCTACAAGTGTTTCCTATCAAATTGGTATTAGAGCACGTAGATCGAAGGGGAACCAATGGCCATAAGGAAAGATGAAGTTTTGGAGGGAGAACTTGAGCAACTCAAAGCAGATTTTGAAGAAAAGATGGCTGATTTTCAAAGTCAGATTGCATCCGTTAATGAAAAGATGGAGGACAAGTTCACCGTGATGAAAGACATGTTAAAGAAATTGCTTGAAGCCAAAATCAAACATGTGACATCAGAAGCAAAGGAAACAACCGACAGCCATGGAAGAGATGGGAATCCTAACACGCCAAGGGAAAGGGAAAAGCAGCCATAAGTGGAGATCCTGGAGGGAGAAGATGGAATCCCTCCTCTAGAACTACTTTCTAGGAAGGAGATGAACATTGACTATACAAGAAGGGGTGCTGAATTTGTAAGGAGAGGGGATGATTTCGATCGTCGGGGTGCTGATTTTGAAAGAAGAAGAGAGGATTTTGATGAATGATTTGGGTATGATTGCCAGAGGGAATATCGTGACAGTTGGGGAGCACCTCCACTTCGAGGAATGAGAGGTTATGGAGGATTTAGGGGAAACGGATGTGACCCGAGGGTGAGGAAATTGAAGATGTCAATCTTTGAGAGGATGATGTGCATGGGTGGATCTACAAGGTAGAAAAGATATTTCACCGTCAATGGGCTGACAGAGGAGGAGAAATTGATGACGACGGACCTATTTTTAGAAGGGAATGCTTTGTCTTGGTATCAGTGGAGGGACATGTGACGACCCATGCGGAGTTGGAGAGAGTTCAAGGATTGTTTGGTAGAACGTTTCCGAACGGGCACAAGAGGAGACTTCTACGAGCAGTTCTTCGCCTTGACACAGAAGGGTTCAGTGAAGGGGTACCGAGAGAGATTCGAGTACCTTGCTAGCCGATTGGACCGTCTTTCTGAGACAGTGCTAGAGGGAAACTTCATGAAGGGGTTGACACCAGAGATCCGAGCAGCGATTAGAGTAATGAGGTCTCGTGACTTAGGAAAGGCTATGGAGCTAGCTCAATTGGTAGATCAGAGGCACCTAGAGAGAGAGATGGGAGGCGGCAGCTTAGGAGGCTCGTATAGGATGACCACCACTTTATTGAAATCTAAGGAGCCAACACCGGATACTCTTCGGCGGACTTCGAAGGAAAAGACTGTAGGAGGAAGACCTGAGGACAACTTCAAGAATCTCACAAAGACAGAATTACATGAGAAGAGGGCGAAGGGGCTCTGTTTTAGATGAGACAAGAGGTATACACCGGGGCACAGGTGTAAGGACCGAACTCTTCAGGTTCTTACCGTTTGTGATAAAAAAGGAATGGAGGGTGTCATCTTTCTACCTTTGCGGACAAAGTGGATCTTTGAGAGGGGAGTATTGTTAGACCGGTCCACGGGGGACCGGCCCAGACGTGAACTGGGCGGAACGCCTCCGCCTCCTGCTGTTGCCGCACGCGACGCAGAAGCTAACTGAGCTTTTTATGAAGGATTTTTGAGGGATTTGGGAGGGAAATTTGAATGTAGGGACTGTTTAGGGATTTCCTTTTAATTTGTATGCATTAAAGACTTTGTTTTCATAGGGTTAGGGCATCTTGAATTTGGCTGAAATTTGAGATCTCTTAGATTTAGGTTTCCTTTGGGCTCTAGCGACGTCTAGAAATTTGGGAGATAACGATCCTCCTCACGAATTAAAGATCAATTGTATCTTGTTTGTTTTTCTTCTGTTAGTTGATTTATTGCAACAAAATATATTATTTTCCCTTATTTCATAGGATTTTGGAAGAGTTTCTCGTTGTTTTTACGAAAATTGATAGGAAATACTTGAGATCTAAAAGCGTTTCCTATCAATTTCCTCCTAAAGTCTTCAAACCGTTAAGTATAATATTATATTCATATACTCAAAAGAAACTTAATAATAACAAAAGAAAAATAAATAATATCAATAATAAGAAATGCTTTATCACATGTGATAATTGTCATTTGTTAATTACAATCATATTTGCATGTGTATTAATATCACACGAGCTGGCAAACCCTCATGTGCATGTTGAGCTGGGTCTAACTCATGTCATAGTTTAATTTTCACATGAAATACTTCCTAAAGTGTGTCGGCATTTGTCAGGAACTCGTAAGGTATTTGAAGTGTTTCTGCTTTCTACAATGTATTTGGAGGGATTGGTCCTTTGAGACCGATAGGGTTCCTTTATGCGACTAGCCACTAATTGACCATTCAACTTGCTGGACAACACGAATTGATAAGGAGTAGGGGAATGCTAATTTGCACAATCTTTGAGGAACTATGAAACACCAATTTCAGCACTTTATTTTCTTGCATCACTTCATAGGGAGAAAATAATGAAGGCATGAAATTTTGAAATCTTTTTTTATTAACCGTTTTTTTGTAGTTTGCATTCACTTTAGAGTTATCCTGATTCTCCACTCAAAATTTGCACTGTTAGCCTGATGTTAGATGCTTTGCTTGATTTCAGAACTTTGGTAGGTTTTTTGTTTATATTTTTCTTTGATTATCTGGACAAAACCTGATACCTCCAAGAGTTATATATTCTTCATACCCACTTTTAAGATTTCTCTTGTTTAATTCGGTGTATCTTTATGAATGTTTCACAAGTTCTAGAGGTAGTTTGAGAGGTGTGGAGCAAAGTAACTTCAATGAAAATAAACCAAAGCCATTGCTTTATCCTAATCCTCCTAAGTCATAACTCAACTCAATGAAGGCTCCAAAAATTTTACCAAGCACTTCTAAGAGAGTTTGATGTCCAAGTTAAATTTTAGAAAGCAGTTTAAATTGTAGATAAGACATTACCTAAATATTTTGCTCTCATTACAAGGATTTTATGATATGATTCTAGATTTCTCATAGGCACAAGCCCCTAGGGCTAATTACGCTTCCTGATGATGAAAGAAAACTTCAAATAAAGTCTAGTCGTTAGGCGCTACACGCATGGCATATAATAACAACATCACAATTTTGAAAAGGAGAAAATTTACCACCTTGTACTTAAATGAATGGCAAGGGAAATGAAAACGAACCTAATCAAGGTCTTATAATTTTGTCGTCCTTGGTTGTTGTGAATGCTAGTTTATTTAGTCAATGGAGATAGTTGACTCAACCAAACTGAAGGATTCTTGTTAGCCGTCATGGGTTGTGTCGTCTAATGAAACCTTATAGACTTGGTAGATGTTTGTTTAAAGGGAGAAGTTTAAGGCAATTTCAGCAAATAAATAACTTTGCACCCAATCAAGTGCACTCCATAATTCACCACTCAGGGAATTTGTGGTCATTGGAAAACTTGCAGGCTTTGATCGTCATTGTATAATTTAATGCGATCATTGTGAAGCAAAATCACTCGGTTAAAGGGCGTGGATCATAAATGTTATTCAGTAGCATCATTTAGCAACAAAATCACCCGATTAGAGAACACATGTTACATCTTTACTGATAGAAGATCTTTTTAGAGTGATCATAATAATATTTTTGATATGACAATAGCACTTTATGAGATCAATGAAATCACCAAGTGCAAATACCTTCAAAATTTCCCGGTGTGTAAGATAATTGTTGTTTAGGTCAAATACTTTTGAGTAGCTCACTGATGATTGACCGAAAACCCATAAGTTCACTCCCCAAAGGAATACCGTAAATGTCTGCAACATAAAAATCATTAAACAGCATGGATGGGAAGGGGAACAAGTTAAGCAAAGTGCCAGAACAAATGGCACTCACCACAAGAAGAAGAGGATTATAATAAAGAAATGCCTCATACAGGAATAAATCTTGAAGATCAGCACTCATTCTCATAACAGAATCCCAACTAATCTGCATCATAGGAAATATGAACATCTTAATTATCTCAGATAGCAGTTGATCCTTTTTCTACAAATTTAATTTTGTTTAACAAAATATTTCTTATAAATTATAGGATAAAATGTATTGAACAAACCTTGCAACAGCTAATTCCCCATACAAGGAAAAGAAGAACCTGGCAATAACAAATTTATAAATCATTCAATAAGCCTAAAAATGATGGAACTCCAGCAGTTCATATATGAAATTTTTAAGAAAAGCAAAAAAAGTGCAAATAAATAGAAAGCACTTAAGCTAATGTATACTGTGCTAATGTACACTTAATCAACCAGAAAAAAATAATAGGAACTCAACTAATGTACAGATAAAGAAGTATGAGGTTATGGATTTTTCTTCTCCAAATTAATCAGATTATCAAATTTAATGGTTTCCACTCTCAGAAATGAAAAACTAAGATGCATTCCTTAACATCAAGGAATAAAATAGTTGTCCAATCTCGAGTATTCTTCAACCAGGATATAAAAAGCAATTGATCGAATAAGTAAAGTCATATAGAAATTATCACAAAATGGCTCTACAGTTATCACTTTGTTAGCTAAGAATGCACAACAGTTGGTTACAACTCGGCTAGTAACAACACCATATGAAAGCAAACAGATAAGTTAAAATCTGCAACATCCCTCAGACAAAAGTGCCAACTGAAAGTGGGCAGAAGCAAACATTCATATAGATGGAAAACTAATAACCTTTAATCTCCATAAGAGGACAGGAGATGGTGTTATGGCAGCACCATGGATCAGTACATTCCCACTTTTCAAGTCCATCATCTCAACTGATAAAGGTAAACCTTCTCCTTCACTTGTTTCAGCCAAACCTTAGCATACATTTGGATCAGACATTCCAATGGAAAATAACTGCATAATTCACATAGAAAACAATGATTCTCAATTACACCATCCAATTACCTTGTTCCGAAAGAGCAGGTTTACCACCTGCGCGGCGGAGTACAGGACTGTTTATGGAGGCTGGCAACGAAGCTCCAGACATAACATTCAACAGAATCCTTAACTTGTAAATTTACTTCCCATCCAACAAGGTCTGTGAATACAAACCAAATATCAAGTAATTTCAAAAAGTAGTGCATAATTTATAAAAGAACGTTTACGGGAAGTTAACCTTATTTAAATTCATGGGCAGAATTTAATCTAAGTGGTCAAAAAGAGGCGTGCAAATCTAAGATGCTTTTAAGGGTTGTTTGGTTAAATGTATTAAAATTCAAGAGTTGTAGAAATGCAAAACAAAAGAAATGTAAATTGTTTTTATTCAGGAGTTATTTGGTTGGAGGCAAGTCAAAATTCTCTTTCTTTTTAATTTGATTGAGTGCATATCAAATTCTATGAAATAAATTTAGAAGTCAAGAGGATTGCTGAAACTACTTAAACCAACAAATGCACAAAAAAGCAATCAATATGCCTTCATGCCCATTGAAGAATACATCTGCAAAAGAAGAGAATGGCAAAGGTTCCCTTGTCAAGAACATGAAAGCCATTAGCCCTAGTCTTTAAAACCGGCTTCATCTCCATTCAGAATAAGCTTACACTAATTACCACTCACCCCAACCTTCACTAAAAGCAATTATATTACAATCCAGGATAAAAATCTAAGGTTACTAGATGAGGCCTACTTCCAACGTTAAATTCTCCTTATGAACCCAAACTCTCCAACAGAACAGAGCATGAATCAATCCTAGACCTTAAGAATTATATAGATTTACAATGGATAAACCAACACCCACAAGCAATGAAAGAAACCCAGAAAGACAATCCAAGTCCAAAGATTCATTCTAAACCTGAAATTTTCAATTAAATTTCAAAAACACAAGCCACTCCAACCTGGAAACAGTAGAGGAAACAAAGAAGAACTGATATCCTATGTTCGATAACCAGAACGTGGCGCTACCTCTGAAATAGAGATAAAAAAAGTACCACAAAAATATCAACCTCCAGCCCTCAGCCTTTTCCCTTGACGCTTTCGCTCTAGTGCTCCAGCTTTCAGCTATAAGGCATGCGCAACCTGCGGCAGGATGGCAGTGGCAGGGAACCAGGATCATCGAAGAGTGCGGCGAAGGCAATGAAATAGCGAGCGGAGGTTCGCTACAAGGAGGGAGTCAGGCGCGATGGTCACATTAAGGGGGCTGTTTAGCAACAGGTTTTAAGCAGGATTCATGCGAAATCCTTCCAAACAGGATTTAAGCAGCCCGTAGAACTCACGGCGTAATAAATCCTCCACTTCTCTTTTTCTCTGTAAATCCGAGATTTACTAAATCCCGGAGTTCGGTGGATTTACGGTATTTGACTGAAGAAGCGCGCGAAAAGGAGAAAGATCGTTACCTTCACAGCCAGCGGGCTCCCGTCGCTACTTCCGATCCAACAGGAAGAACGACGAACTGGACTGAAGGTCGTCGAAGGAGGCGACGAAGGCTTTTAGCAGACTCGTTCAAAACCCTCCCGCGCGAAGAAAAGAAATGGAGAAGAGAAAAGCAAACTAGAAATGACTGATCGAATTATCGAAAGAGAAAAAGACTGTAATTCTACGTAATTTAATTAATATAAATATTTAAAATTAAGCTAATTAATATCCCTAAGTTATAATATTACTCAAATTAGATAATTAATATTCAAAATAATAATTATATTATTAGTTAATTTATTTAATAATTAAATTAACTTTTAATTATATTATTTATAATAATAATTTTTTTTGAGGATTTATCTACATATACAGCAAATATATATATATATATATATATATTTGCTGTATATGTAGATAAATCCTCAAAAAAAAAACTATTTCTTTTACTTACATATTTAAATTTAAAATTATATATCTATTTTTATTTCATTCCATATTAGCAACTAGAAAACTCTTAAAGATTGTTTGGTAGCAAATTTTGAGTAGGATTAAATAAAATTTAATGTAAATTTTGACAAAATAATTTTTAAGGTAAGTAAATCTTATTGTCAAGTGAAACACCATTTTACTATTTTGATGTCGCATTAATTTTTATGTAAGCCTATCACAAGCTCAACTAATTTGTTGTTTGACATCCCATTCACAATAAATGGTGGTGATCATACCGTCGTCGATAGGGCTGTAGGGTTGTAGGGGAACTTATGATTAAATTTAACCACAAACTCATACTTTTTTTTTTAATAAAACCTGTGGAGGGGCCTACGCGTTGAATAAAAGGGAAATTACAAGTCCTTAAAGATCCATAAGCTCAACAAAAAATACAGCCATTAAAGTAAAACCTAAGAGCTATTGGATCTACTAATTACAATTAAACAAGAGAATAAAAATAAATAAAGCCATCCCAAGGACCGAACCAGCCAAAGAGGCAGCAACCTGCATCCAGCAAATCCACAGCAAGCAGGAAACCCACCATAAGCCCAGCAGTCAATCGTCACAACCAGAATAAAAAGCCACCCAAATCCGAAAACCAAATATCCAAAAAATGGCACCACAATAGCAATATGCACAAAACAAAAGAAGAGGAACTACACCACAAGAAAAGAAGAAACCCCCACTAGCCATATAAAATACCACACAACCCAACACCCCAAGGCCCAAAGCAACAGCCACCAAGCCAAACACAAAACACAGTTTCTTGGCTTTCCTCTTCCTTCGACTACCCACCCGAACGAAAGTATCACGCAAACCACCAACCTTTTCAAACACTTCCTATTCATCACCTTCAGAATGAGAAGATGAAGAACATTCAAGCCAGAAGGATAAGATGAAGAACATTCAAGTCAATCCATTTGCGCCTTAACAATTGCGCCACCATCCAAATAGGCCTTCCCCGACCTCAACATAACTTGAGACAGAAGAACATTAGACGAAACAAGATCAACATGAACATCAACCAAAGCTTCACCACAAACACTCCCCACAATAAGAGGAAGAAAAAATGGTGCATTTTGATTCAAATGGCCAGCAGAGCTTTCTAAATCACCAAACGTATCCTTAGCCACCAACTCAAGATCTTGACAAAAAATCTTCTCTACTCCACCAACGATACCCTCCTCGCTATGAGCCAAAGCAATAATACAATCCTCCACCACACCATCACTAATCAAATTAGCATCAGCATTCTCAAGGAGAACCACATTAGGAGAAACCAAATTATATGTATTAAGGCAAACATCATCACCCTCAACCAATGTAGCCATATTCTCTTGCTCCTCAACATTAATACCAACGGGATCACACCCATCAGCATCAATGGAAATAAGAGGAACGCCATCAGCACATTGATCCACCCCAATCAATGGTGGATTAACACCAACCTCATGAGAAGAATGAGCACCAATCGAAACGCCCTCCCCCACAGGAGGGAAACCAACTAAAATAGGAAATAAAATCGGGCAAACATCTATCAAATGAGCCAAATATTTACAATGGGAGTAATACGGGAAAAACACTTACATCTCCACAGATTGAATGTACTCCACAGAATCAGAGCCAAGCCACACTTGATTAGGATAATGTTTAGTAATATCTAATTCACAAACTTATACACAAATTCGAACACATTAGGCCACGAATCCAAAACTTTATTGTTAAAGCTAAAGCACCCAATCACCTCTAAGTTATCAATGCCATCAATTAGGAAGAGGGCTTGGAGTCAACCTCCAAGTTCTTTAGTGTCCATAATTTTTTTAAAAAAATTTATATACATAACACTTAAAAGTTAAAACTATTGTAATTACATATCTAACACCTAAACTATACCATTTACTTTTCTACCACCCAAATACCATTCCAGTGATTTTAACTCTCATCAAAACCCCACCTTGACCTTTCCCATGGACATGCAAATCAGCAAATGGAAGAAAGAGGATCACACGCTTGAATGGATTGCACTCAGGCTCTAAAGCTTCGTCCATTCGTTCCTTTCTCCGGCTCTATGGTTTTGCTTGCTCGACAAAATGAATTGCACGCAATCCCTGTTTCGCCTGCTCTTTGGATCGCAAAAACATAAATATATCGCAGGTCTCCCGTCCTCTCTCTTGTTTTATTAGAAAGCATGGACATAACTCATAAAAACTTGGTACCATCCGCCTCTTTCTCCCATTTGCTAAAGATGAATCGCACATCCACTCAAAAGGTTAGGGTGGAGTTTTAACGGGAGTTAACGAAGTGGTATTTTAGATGAGTGGAATGATATTTAGATGATAGAAAAGTAAATAGTATAATTTTGGTGTTAGTAATGAAATTACAATAATTATAAGTATTATGTATGTAAAAACCTTTTTTTTTTTTTTTTATTGATGAGCCAATAATCTCAAATATGTTTAGGTTGCTAGTGTTAGAAAGCTCTAAATATCGGACACTAACATGGAGGAATTATCACAGCTTTGGGCATAAATTTGGAAGTAAGATTTGATTTAGGTGTTGATTGGTTGAAATACAAAGTGGTTTAAAGTATTACAACTGCATGGCTTATGTAAATCTATGTTTTTGATTGGATGAAAAAGAAATGCTAAGTAAAATAAATATAGTGTAAATTATTTTTGTTTTAGGTATTGATTGGTTGAAATACAAAGTGTTGTAAAGTAATACAACTGCATGGATTATGTAAATCTAAGTTTTTGATTGGATGAAAAAGAAATGTTAAGTAAAATAAATATAGTGTAAATTATTTTAGTTTATTTTTGAAATAAACTTGCTCAATTTTGATTGAGAATCGTTCACAACATAAGCAACCTCACTTGATCGCCGCCCGCCCCTCAACACTGTTTACGCCCAACACCGTCTTCGCCCATCGCTGTTGCCAGTCACTGCCACCACAGCCACCAGCACCCATCATAGGTCGCCGACGGCCACCACCACCGCCGCTGTCATCGCCACCCGCCGCCAGCCACTATCTTTAGACTTCACACTATATTCATTACTTCCAAAAAAACATTCACTTGTATTAACTTTACATTCATCTAAACAACTTCAAAATATTTATTTTACAATGTATTTTTTTTAAACTACATTCATTTTTTAGCCAACCAAATAACTCCTTATACTATAAGGTAGAGGGCAAAAAGCGAGCGTAGTAAGAAAATTAGAATCTTTCCTTGGAGATCTTCATAGCATGAAGGAGATGAGGTCTTAGCTGAGCTAAGATTTCAAGTAATAGAGGGCAAAATAATTTAACCCAAACGGATAAAGAGAGTTGAACTTGAAGAAACTTTAAGAGTTAAATTTTGAAATTATACACAATATAAGAATCTAGAGCGGGCCAGATCTACAGAGCTGCTTTAGGGGTCCCAAGACGTTTTGATCAATTATCTAGATAGGAATTTACTTGGAAGTTCTATTTAAATCGCAAATTCTGAAAAAACTGCCAATTTATTGCAGTAAACACCACAAAATTTATTAATCCATGTGCGTTGACAAACTTGAAGGTTTAATGAATTTAGGTATTTGGATCAGTTAATCTGGGGAAAATAGAGAATCGAAGAACAATTTGCCTTAGGATAGACAGAGAAAAGAAAGAATCAGACCTCCTACCTCGGACTCAGCAGCAGAGAGGCAATATGCGCAATAAATTTAGATCATAAGAGACTCCCTTCCGAATTCCGCCTCGGGATGGAGCTGATCGAGTGGCTAGCTGAAGAAGGAGATCGGCAAGCATTAATCGAGAAAGAAAGAGAAGAAACGTCGTTACGAAGGAAAGGAAGACCGTAACCTAGATCCGAAGCATTACCCTAATCGCATTTGAAAACAAAGATTTAACAAAGAAAAAAAAAATCCCTTTGTTTTGTTATTATATTAGAATTAAACGTGTCTGGTTTGTAATTAATATAGAATACTAATTCCATCTCCCTAATTCTCCTTCATATTTCTACTCTCCTATTACGTGCAGTCATTCAATCAGAATAGATCAATTAAAACGTGTCACGTTATTAATTTACTGTGTATCATTACCGTTAAGTATCAAGTGATGTGGCACGTCATGATTGGCCTATGAATGGTGTCCGTTGACCACAAGTAATATTTTCTTCTTACAAAAGGAAATATAATAAATGAAGAATATAAATTACCTTTATATGTGGGTTCAAATTATCTTCTTTTTTTGTATAACTATAAATATTTAAATATTTATAATTTATTTATAAAATAAATGTTGCTTGAGTTCATTAGAATGTATTGACCTCATATTTTAATATCTTATTTATAGATTTAAGACAAAATTCAATGCTAAGTGAATGACTAAAAATTAAAAATCTAATAATATTAGATAAC